TAGTTTAAAGCCCTTTCTGTATGAATCCACCATCAGGTCATCGAAGCGCGGCGAGGCGATATATTCATCGACGACCTTCTTCTTAGTGCCCTCAATGCCTTGGGAAAAGATCTGTGTCCTCTCCCTAATGTCCTCTTGAAGGTATTCAACCTGATGCTGCAAATCCAGCCTCAGGTCCGCCATATGCTTCACAACAACTCCCATGGCCTCGGCATCTCTTTGAGACCTTGCCTGCCTGGTCAGTGCAACGAGAGCAGCCGCCTCAGCAGCTCGGGAAGTCGCCTCGGCAGCACGGAAAGCCTCTTCGGCAGCTCGTGCCTGCCTCAAGCTCCTCTCCACCTGGGCCGCCAAGGCATGGATAGAAGAGTTCACTTACCAAAAGGAAAGAACAAGTGATTAAAAGAACGACAGCGAGAGGGATAAAAGCGAAGAAGCCCGATAAGAAATCTAACTCACCACCATGGCATGAGTGGCAGCACGACAGGCCACCTGGTTCAAAGGAAGATCGGTCCACACCGCGACCTCCTCAGGAAAGGTGGCCTCCCTACTCTTCTGAAGAGCGTAATTCGACGACAACACGCTCCTGAATTCCCCTTGGGCTTCCGAGCCTGAGGGCCCAGCTCGCGCATAAGCGGACCCAGAGTAAGCGGGAGCACCAGAGTAGGCGGAAGCCCCCGTGTAAGTAGTCTCGGCATAAGGGGCCCCTGTCGCTTCTTGCATTGGAGGAGCCACCTTGGGCGGATCCTCTGACGGGTAGTCTGGTACCTTAGGCTCTGCATCTTGGGGCAGCTCGGCATGAGTTTGCTTGGTGACTCGCTTCCTCCTCTTCATGCCTTGAAACAGGTGCCCACCACGAGTCCTTTCTGAGTCCATCACACCTACAAAAAAGAGTTTGGCATTAGAAAAAACAAAAGAACAAAGCAAAACAAGAAACCTCTAAGCAAGGAACCTACCTGAACTCAGGCTGGCCGTAATGTGCTTGGCCTCCGTCAGATACTGATGGCATTTTAGCCCAAGCCGTGCCCATTGCCGGAGGCCCTTCACCGTCTCTTTATCAAGCGTAACACCGGAGTTAGGGGCGGCCATCCCCCATCCGGTCTGAAACGGCCACCCTAGTACACTTCGCACCCTGAAGTAGTCTCGCTTCCATGCCGGGACCTTGTTGGGAAGTTCATGTAAGAGCTTAAAACCCGGGCGAGGAGACAAGTAGTACGCCCGCCTACGCCCGGGAAGGGGACCCACTTGCTTCTTAAGCATTAAAATAGAAGAGAATATCTCCAAGTCTAAAGGAAAGCCCTGTTCGCAAAATAGGGAGATTGTCCCCACCAAGTTACGAATGAAGTTTGGGTGAAGCTGGCCTACAGTAACGCCGAAGTAGTTCATGACCTCGACAAGAAGGGGGTGGAAAGGCAGTCGCAGCCCCGCAACTATCTGCTCCCGGAATATATCACGATCTCTTCAGAACCGTGCTCCCAAGGAAAGCTACCCGAAGGTATGAAGTAGGCGTACTCCCCAGGCAAGTTGTAATAGGTAATAAGAGATTGGAGCCCCTCAGGCGTCATGGTCGAGGGACCAAACTTGTCTAACGTCCAACCTCGATGAGAGGTGGACGCCAAACTACCCGAGGCGACTCGGCCTACGGGTTCGAACTCTTCCTCGAACTCTACCTCCGGTTCGCTAGGACCACCAAGGGATGCAACTCGGTTCGTAGAACCTGCATCTGACCCACTTGAAGAACCATCTGAGCTATCCGAGCTAGACATCGAGGAGAAAAGATGGATTCCAGGAAAGTACTCACCCGGAAAAAGGCTTGAACAGACTACGGGAACTGGAACACAAGCAAAAAACCTTGAATGCAAACTAAAAGCTTGGATGCAAGCTGAAACTTGGACGCGAGCTCAAAAAGCAAAGCGCAGAAGTGACAAAAGCAACTAGGGTCCCCCACTATTTATACCCGTAGTAACCAAGAATCAACGGCTCAGATCAAATCCAATCTGACGGCCCGCAGTCGCGCTAACCGCACGTCTCCTGAGACCAAGACATGATTGGCCACACGTCTCTCAAAACTGACCGCACGTCTCCTCACATTAAAGGCGGTAGCGACACATTTTCAAATTTGAAGAGACGCCCGCTGTCACATCTCCCAGCGGCATGCTTTTTGAATTTTGAAATAAGGCGCGCGTTGTCACGTCAGTCAGCATTTGTAGGAAGATCGACACGTCTCACGTCTTTTTGGCGCTCGAGAAAACTTGGAAAAACCCTGACGAAATGTGCACTTCGCGTCACCAGCCAAACCAGTTCGAAGTACGGAACAAATCCACCTGCCACCTCACAAACTCCGCGCGCCAGGCCAAGTCCCTTAGCGCGACGAATGGGGGGCAATTGATGAAGGAAGATTTGGCCTGACCTCGTAATCACTCAACACGTAGCAAAGTCAACAGCTCGGTACAACAACGCGCCCAAGGCGCGAACACCAAAAGGAGGAACCAGCAGTCCGAACTCCCTACAAGGAGACCGAAGTCCCTGCAAGGAGCCCGAGCTCTCCCTTTGGCCCCGAGCCTCACACAAGGCAACGACCCGAACTGGCCTACCCCATGGCAGTTCGGGACACTCCTTTATCCGAACTCAAGACTTCACCTCGCTCACCACTCCATCACTTCGCCTCCAGGACGCCGAACTGAACAATCGTACCATGCTTGACACCGAGGAGGTCCGTATCCAAGGGCGGCGCACCTGACTGACTTGGGATCTGACGCTTGACAGCCGCACTTCAACGGCCACCTGCCACCGCCATCTCCAGTTGCAGAGACAGCTCTGACAAAGAGAGCAGTGGCGGTTCTGTCCAGCAGAGGTGATGACACCCGAACTGGCAGGAGCACAGAGTAATGATACCCGACCTGACAGAAGCTTAAGAGTGAGTGCGCGAGGTGGTTATAAAAGGCTCCCTACCCCCCAAGAACAAGGTATGTGAACTTTGCGCCATCTGGTTTTATCTTGCCTTTGAGAGAATACTAACTTGAGCTTCGGAGCAATCTCACCGGGTTCCTCCCTGGAGATTCCTCATCTTCTTCGTTTTAGGCTCCCTATTGCTCCTGCCGGAGGCAAGGTCGTTGACAGTTAGGACCGGCCGGATTGCGCACCATCAAGAGTAGTTCAAGATATCAAAAAATCATAAAAAAAGGGAGAATGATAGTACAACCCAGGGTCAGAATTTTTAGGCCCAAAGTACAGTGGGGCTCGGAATTAATGTCGATTTGCAAGCAGGCATTGGTGTATAAAATGGGGGTATTTGACATTTTGAATGTTTATAGCTATGCAGTGGAATTTAGAAATCTGCATTGGGCCTATTCGTACTTTTCCGTGAAAATTGATGCCTAACCTTTGACCTTATTGATTGGATTAAACAATTTAGAGGTTCAACAATTAGGTCACTGAGTTGTTTACCGGGCCAACACATTTTTCAAGTATAGTTTGGGGGCTAAAACCTAAAAGGACTTGATAAATAGTTTTCAACTATGCATTGAAAACATTGATTTTAGAAAATTCAAGGGAGAATGACGGTTCAGCCTAGAGTCAGAAATTTTAGGCCCAAAGTATAGTTGGGGTGAGTTCCAGTTTGGAATTGATGCCAATTTATGAGCGGACATTGGTATATAAAGTGAGGGTCTTTGATATTTTGAATGTTCATAACTTTGCGGTGAAATTTAGAAATTTGCATTGAGTCTATCGATTTAGTTCTTTTGGGCGAAAATAGATCCTCTCTAGTTTATAAGAATTAAGTTGTACATGCTGGAAATAACCAAGCTTGAAGGAGGTCTGATGTGGGAATTTTCAAGTCCAAAGGCTTTTCTTGTATTGCAGAGGTGATAAGGGGGGACCTGTCAAGATCTCAGTTAGAGAAAGGGCGCCTTTGCTTCATTCCCAACGGGGTCAACTACAGGAGTGTTATTTCATCCTCAGAAATCTTATTTCATTATTTTTGTTCTTTTTAATGTCATGTCTATCGTTAATTAAGGGATATTATCTAAAACTTATTATGACTTTTTTTTTTTTGCATTTTTTAAACTCATTCCGACTTTTCAAAACATCTATAAAATCCCTTGTTAGTGAGTTTTATTATTCAAAATTCACTTTCTGTTAAGATTTTCATTAAATCACCATTACTAATTATTAATAGAAATTGTCCACAAAAGCATTTAAGTATTTTATATGACAAAATTACTGCTGAATGGCCGGTTAAGTTTGTCGAATATTTCTCATGGCAGAATTATGTACCCGACCTGGGCCTGGGCCTGTAGCAATCATGGATAATTTTGTCATAAAATATTTAATAAGGTTCATTGATCATTCAGGGGTAGTTTGGTCATATAAAATACTAAAATACTTTCATGAAAAATTTCTATTGATAGTAACTAATGGTGATCTAACGAAAATCTATCTTAATGGAAGGTGAATTTTGGATAATAAAGTATTAATAAGGGTTTGTTGGAGGTTTTGAAAATTCATGATGAATTTGAAAAAGAAAAACACAGTGAATTTTAGACAATATTTCTTAAATTAAAGACTCGTTACTAATTTTGATAATTGTGCTAGTACGATCATTAAAAGAAAAAATCAGGGTTCATGATTATTAAAGCTGGCAAATGTTTTAGCGTTGGCTACCAACTTTACACAGCCCTCCTTTATCTTGGACTGGGACCGACAGTGTAAGACAAATTCATATGGGAGGAGTTAAACATAGTGTTTTTCCAATGTTTCTTTGTTTTCCTTCTTTTTCCAACCGCTTAATTTGCATCAAGGAGTAAAGTTGTCATTACACATTACAAATTTTATCATGCAAATAAATAGTGAAACTAGAGGAAAAAAACAGAACCAAATTACCTATTTCATGGGTGAAAAAAGCAGAGAAATTGAGTCGTGACACTAAAGGAAGTAAAGTATATAATCAATTCCTGCTCCAAACATAAGCTGATCTATTAGTTAACACACATAAAAAACAGAAAAGTTCAATGCGACTATGTAGAGTTGATGCTGCTGTTACAGTCTCTCCATGGATGAGTTTCCAATTCCCAGAGATACAGAGATGGTTATGTTTGGATAAGCCTCAGGGTTTTCGCTTCAAGCCCAAAACCATGAAACCCCACCAATTTTAGGTGGGTGAGTGTCGACCCTGTTCAGTGCTGAGTTTCAAAAGGAAAAGCTTACTACTCGGGTGAGATCAGATGAGATGAAACTCGTGACTCGTGAGTTTAGGTGGGTGAGTGGGACCCTGTTCAGTGCTGAGTTTCCCGAGTCCCGTCCGGTTTATGATGAAAACCGGGGAGATCTACACGGTGGAATTTCATTATTCCCCTAATATTTAATTTAAAAATCAACTCCATGCCGATCGACCGATCGCCATGAGATTCCGATCAAATCAACTGAAAATCGATCTTTCTGTTTTACTCTTTCCCTCCATGAGAGGGAGAGAGACGGTTCGGCTTCAAGCAATCCCTCGTCCACTTCCTTACCAGTCTCGGACTCTGAGGTATCGTTGTTCTTCTCTTGTTGTTTTCTATTGTTTATTGTTTCTCTCAATTTCTTTCCTTTTAGAATGCTCGATTTTTCTCCACTACAAGTCCTAGTACTAGACCTCTTTCATTTCCTTCTCTCTAGTCTCTTCCTCTCCTATTGGGGTTAGGGTTTCCTCACTTTTCTGCAGAACCAACTATGATTCCTTGAAGTTTTTTGGAATTCTTCCCGATAGCTTAGTCGACTCCCGTTTTAATGGATTTCGTCGAACTAGAGGCCATCGAAGGCCTTCGATGGTCTTGGAATTCATGGCCGGCTTCGAAATCCGAAGCTTCTTCCTTGGTAATTCCTTTGAGCGTCATGTGTACTCCATTGATGGAGTTCACCGAGCTTCCTTTGCTCCCTTACGACCCTCTTGTCTGCAGCCGCTGTGGCGCTGTTTTGAACCCTTACGCACGCGTCGATTACCAATCACGGCTCTGGGTTTGTCCTTTTTGTTATCAGAAGAATCCATTTCCTCGCTCTTATGCTGGGATTGGAGAGAACAATCTCCCTGCCGAGCTTTTCCCGACTTACAGCACAGTTGAATACCATCATGGCCGGAAGGGCTTGGGCCTTGGTTCAAATATCAATTCGAACGCTATTTGGGGTGGCAACAGGCTATCTTCTTCGTCACTATCATCTTTGATGTCGTCATCTTCTTCTATGGGTTCATCCTTCTCTTCTTCTTCACTCTCATGTACGGATTCGCGGGGGAATGGACCTGCATTTGTGTTTGTTGTTGACACTTGCTCACCTGAGGAGGAGTTACGAGCACTTAAAAATGAGCTGTTGCTCGTTGTGGCGCAATTGCCAGAGAACGCATTGGTTGGGCTGGTCACTTTCGACTCCATGGTCAGTGTCTACGACCTCGGGTTTGTGGACTGTTCAAAGGTTGTATTGTTTCATGGAGAACGGGAATTATCATCGGATCAGGTATACATCTCTGCCTAGTGAAGCTGTAGTAGTACTGCCGTGGAAGTAGTGGATTCCTGTATCTCGTTTCTTTTTTTTTTTCTATATGTTCTTCTTTTGGTCTCCACCAATCCTATATAATGCATAAATGCCATTGCATCCAAGATTGTTTTTAATCGTTTGGCAACAGTAGTTTGAAGTTTTACTCCACAATGTAGCGTACACATGTAATCACTTTTTATGGGATTCAAGGACAATGCCCTGGAATTGCTTGAACAATTATTATTTCTAATTGAAACCACTTTTGGATTTTACCAAAATAAAAAAGAAAGAAACCACTTCTGGAGATAATCTGCCTGGAAATTTGTAATTGAAACCACTTTTACTAGATGTCTCTTAAGAGACAAATGCTCATGGTCGTTACCAGCATTTCTCTAGTCCTTTCTCACCTTTAATATCCATTAAAGGTGTGGGATTTGGCTCTTCTATTTCACTGGACATCTCAGGTATGGGATTTGGCTCTTCTATTTCACTGTCTGGAAGAAAGTTAATCATGCCTTTTGCTATGGTTTACCCCCTTCAGTCTCTAAATCATGGCCCATCAAACATTGAGTGTAATTGTCATCATCTCATATATGGTGGAGTTCGTTTTGAAGAAGAGGATGTTGTAGAAGATGAGACTTGTGAAAAGACAGCAAAAGGGTCAGATTAAGGACCGGATTTCCAGATTCACAATGGATGTGCTTATTTCAGGGTCTTGGATCCCAATGGTTTACAATTTGGTAAGAATCTTCACTGCCAGAAGGCAGGGTTGGAAGACTATCTTACTTAGATTCTTAGAGCCTTCCTCCCTCTGGAAAATACATTGCTCACTTTCTTGGGAAAATATGGAATCTTTGATCACTGAAGGTGATCATCAGCAGACCTCTTCATGATAGATGATGTTTCACATCGTTGGATGGCCTGGGTTCATATCTTTGAACTTTACAAAATGAAAACAAAGGAAAAGAAAATCAGGGTTTGGGTGGTTAGGATATAGAAAATCTGTAGAATTTTTGCTTTGATGATAGTGAGTTGGCTACAGAACCAAGACTCTATAGTATGGAGCTTTAAGAATGAAATTAAAAAATTCAATTGGTTGACAAGGAGCTTGACTGTGAGAATACATTGGGTGGGGAGATCAGCAAATGCTTTGGCTGATTGTCTTGCAAAGCAAGGGGCAAACAGGGAACGATTATATTGGGCTCAACTGTAGTTCGAATTTGTTTTCTATTTTGTGCTTTCTTCTTGTTGTTATGTTAGGAGAGGACACAGCTTGCACCTCTTCATGGGAAGATTGTAACTGAATTACACTTTCTATTAATGAAATCTTAATTTATTTATAAAAAAAAATTGCTTTGGTGATGGCACTGGTAAGTGGTTTTGGAGATTTGGCCAACAAGAAAACAGTTTGTGGAGAAGAGACATAAAAGCAAAATATAATCTAAGAAGTGGGGGTTAGGATCCAGGTGAAGCAAGTCAGCCCTATGGATGTTCAGTTTGGAAAGGGATTGAGAGAAGTTACAGTTCTTTCAGTAAGGAAGTCAACTTTGAGGTGGGGAAAGGAACCAAAGTCAAGTTTTGGAAGGACTGCTGGTGTGAAGGTAGCATTCTGAAAGATGAATTCCCTGAGTTGTTCACATTAGCAGTGGACGAGGAAGCAAAAGTGGTGGAGTATATGCAGATCCCCAATGGCAACTGTGTGTGGAATATCCTTCTCAGAAGAGCTTTAAGCGATTGGGAGATTGACCATTATGCTCGGCTGCTGCAGAGGCTTTATAGTACCCGTATTGACTATATTAGTGAGGATAAAAGAGTGTGGCAAGATGGGAAGAGCAAACAGTTTTTGGTGAGTTCATTTTATAACAGGTTGACTAAGGAGGAAGATCAAGATTTCCCTATGAAAATAATCTGGTGCAAATTCATTCCTTCAAAAAATTGCATTCTTCATCTGGCTGGATTTCCTCAAGAAGATTCAGACTAAAGACAATCTAATGAAGAGAGGTGTAGCAATTGACTCACCAGTGTGTGTCCTATATAACAGGGTGGATGAATCCGTCAACCACCTGCTATTATACTGTGAGTTTTCTTATAAGATATGGGTGAATGTTCACAACTTGTTTGCCCTTGAGGTATGTTGTCTGAACTCGGTTGAAAGTTTCTGTAAGGGGTGATACATTCAAAGTTTGAGCAAAATAGGGAAGGCTGTTTGGCAAATGATTCCAGGAATTGTGTGGTGTTTGATATGGCAGGAAAGGAACTTGGAATTTTTCACAACAAAAGTAGCCAGGTGGAGGATGTAATGATGTATGGCATAAAGTTGTGCACAAATTATTCTCCTGGTCTTCAGCTCAGATCAACTTAAACAGTTCAAACCATAGTTTTTTTTTTTTTTTTGATGAATCAGTTCAAACCATAGTTCCTACTTTGATTTTGTAAATCTGTTTGTTAATACTGAAGGGATAGTGGCTTAGTTCAATGTATGTTATCCTGTTACAGCATCTAGTTGTACAGGGTATTTTGTTTCCCTTTTAATGAAGTTATTACAATACCACTTCTCAAAAAAAAAAAAACAAAAACTTACTGTCTTATCAGACTGGAGTGGAGTAGTTTCTCAAGAAATTGGACCACAGGAAGCACAGTAGCTGTAAGATGCATGATGTGCTTGATAGTTTACTTTTAATATTCGTCTACTTGCATCTATAGCATTGTTTTTTTATCAATAATCTATAGCATCCTGTTATGCTTAACTATTCCTTCTAGTGTGCTTTGGGAACAACTTTTTATGGTGGCTGGTTGGGCCTTTGGGATCAGGAATATCGAAAAGTATGTATCTTATCAGTACCTCTGATAGGCACACATGTGATTTGGTTGATCATAAAGAGTAAAGTCAAGAATATACACCATCTCTCATGCAGGATCTCTGTTGTGTTGGCCATGTTGAGCATATGGCTTAGGTGGCTGGAATAATGGCATTCATTCAATGTTTTACTCTTCTCAAATTTTCTTTTGTTTGTGAGACAGTAACATTGTTGCATCTTTTGTATGGAGTGAGAGAAAAGGGTTGGTTTCACCAATACATATGTTTGAACACAAGAATACTGCATTTGAGACATGCATATAGCCTTGTTCTTATTTCTCCCTCAAAATGCTTTCTCTATTTTTCTGTTCATTTCAGCAGAAATAGATGCATCAATGGAAGAAATTTTCAGGGAAGGTTAAGGAAGTAGATGCGCCTTACAATGTATTTATTTATAATAGTGGTTCTTGACTTCTTTAAATCAAGTAATCAATTGGTGGTGCTCGGACTTGGGAGTAACTGTATGCTAGGGATTGTTTCTGGGTTGTGTAACTGGCGGCATGCTTATTGGTTTCTTCTAAGTATACTATGCTTGGGGACTGATTGGAAATTTTACAAGTGCATTGCATCACCTCACATTTGATTTTCCTGGAATGGCATTTACCTGATCTATATTATTTGTTCACCTTCAGATTCAGGATTTATTGGGAATTTCTTGCTGTAATCACCAGCAACTTGGAAAGGCATCCACTATCCAAAAGCAGGGTTTTCTGCTTCCAGTTTCAGAATGTGAGTTCAATATAACTACAGCAATTGAAGAGATCCACTCCACCAAGCAGGCTATGCCTGGTCATCGTCCTAAAAGGGCCACTGGAGCCGCTATATCAACTTCAGTTGGACTTCTGGAAGGATGCTTATGCAACACAGGTTCCCGGATCATGGTCTTCACATCTGGACCTGCTACTCTGGGCCCTGGGATTGTTGTAGACACTGAATTCAGTCATGCCATTCGTACCCATCGGGATCTTATAAATGGTCATGCTTTTTACTACAGTAAGTCTTGCAACTTCTATAAGCAAGTTGCACAGAGGTTATGCAATGCATGTATTGTTCTGGATTTGTTTGCTTGTTCTCTTGATCAGGTTGGGGCTGCAGAATTAAAATTTCCAGTTGAAAGCTCAGGCGGCTTCATGATGCTGGGGGAGTCATTTGAAACAGATCAGTTCAGGAAATGCCTACGTCACATTTTTAGTCGTGATGCTGATGGCAATCTCAAAATGTACTTTGATGCAACAATTGAGATAATCACCACGAAAGAGGTAATGATCTGTGGCGCCCTTGGTCCTTGTGTATCTCTCCAGAAAAACAACAGTTCAGTGAGTCAGAATGAGATTGGACAGGGTGGTACCAACTTGTGGAAGCTAGGTACGCTTACAAACAAGACATGCATTGCTTTTTTCTTTGAGGTAGGTGATGAGCAGAAAATCCAGGCAGGGTCTGCATTCTTCATACAGTTCATAACACGTTACTGGCATGGGAATATGGGAATCCGACAAAGGGTGACAACTGCAGCAAGAAGATGGGTTGGAAAGCGCTCACCAGAGATTGGCTCTGGGTTTGATCAAGACACTGCTGCCACAATTATTGCCAGACTCGCTATCCATAGGGCTGAGCAATCTCATGCTCGAGATGTCATAAGATGGCTGGATAAGAGGCTGATTAAATTTTGTTCCAAGTTTGGTGATTATGTGTTAGAAGACCCGTCTTCATTTCGTCTGTCATCCAACTTCTCCCTCTACCCTCAGTTTATGTATTACTTAAGGAGGTCACAATTTATTGACGTCTTTAATAGCAGCCCTGATGAGACTGCCTTCTTCAGGTTGATGCTTAACCGGGAAGGGGTGGTTGGATCTCTGATTATGATCCAGCCTACTCTTTTCCAGTACTCTTTCGATGGGCCTCCAGTTCCTGTCCTCCTGGATGTTAGCTCTATCTTGTCAGATGTGATTCTGCTTTTCGATTCTTATTTCTATGTGGTTATTCACTATGGGTCTAAGATTGCACAATGGAGGAAGCAAGGTTTTGACAAGGACCCAAACCATGAGAACCTGAGAAATCTATTGGAAGCACCAGAAATTGATGCAAAACAGTTGGTGGCTGAACGAATTCCTGTTCCCAAGCTTATTAAATGTGACCAGCACAGTAGTCAGGCAAGATTTCTGCTTGCTAAGTTGAATCCTTCAGTTACTCAGAATTCAGTATATACAGATGGCTCGGATATCATATTTACGGATGATGTGAGTTTGCAAGTTTTTATAGAGCATTTGCAGGCCTTGGCTGTGCGAGGGTGATGAAGAGATTGCTGAATGATGGTTTGTTCTCTCATTCTCTGTTTTTTTGTCTCTTACACAGAATCATTGTATACTGCGTGCAATATAGAAAACCTTTTTAACTTTATTTTTTTTCTAAAAGATTGATGTTGTAAAAAGGTTAATGTTTAAGTGGAGATGTGGAGGTAAACCAGCCCTGTGAGTGGTTTGATGTTGTCCACAGGTCTGAGAAAACACTCTTCACATATTCTAGCCGGTCAGAATTGTTGTAAAGGTGAATGAACTGAACCCTCCTCCCCCCGGGGGGCTATTCTCTGATAGTTTTTGTATGAGGAGTTGAGGAGGACCACGGAGCTTATTTCTGTTTGCTCTGCTTAATAGAATATAATTCATCTTTACTCGAAGGAAAAATTGTGTCAGATACCATATGGTCGGTATGTGTCAGTTTCAGGGCAGCTGAGGGGTGTGAGGCAAGTGAACAGTCTGAAATTGAATGCCAAAATACATCAGTCCCTTTCTAATATCAGACTACTCTTGGGTCGATATGATTGTTTTGAATTGAAAAGCAAGCTTCAATATAGTTTGTACTAAAATTATTTTTTGTATATAAAATATAACACAAAAATGTGAAAAATAAATGTCTTGCACATTAAAGTTTGGGCTTTCATGTATAACCGTATAAATGATGAAGTTAATTATGTATGACAAGTAATAGGTTCACCATGCACATGTGCAATATATTATTAATTTTGAATGCTTTATGCATGTTCATTTGTAATGGAGGGTTCATGTGTAAATTACAATTTGGTTCATATGTTAAACATGAGTAAGATTGAGCTGTGGAATTAATGTCACACTGCTGCCACTGTATTTATTTAGATTTATGATTTATCATTTATGTGGCGTTCGGAAGAGTTGGGACTTTGGGGTCTCAGCAACATGATATGTGACCGCACATCTCACCATAAGACCAGACCCACTATAACACTAGGACACACCATGTCTGCGAGTGCGATGTGCAGACACATATCATGTTGTAATGTGTCGGAACAATTTTTTGTTACGAGCATATCCGATCCCGGTTTGAAATGCAACTAGGGGTGCTCAACAAAAAGTGAAATATTGAAAAACTGAATTCAGAAAATCGAATTGAAATATCTGATTAACCAAACCGATCAGTATATATATTTATATATTATATATTTTTAATATACATATTTATTTTATATATATATTTAATTATTTATTTATAATATATATATATATATATATATATATATATATATTTATAATATATATTGAAAATATAAAAATTGAGAAACCGGCAAACTGAACTGGTGAAAAACCGAACCCATCAATTAGTTAACCAATTGGTTTATCTTGGTTGTTAGTGTTTTCCGAAATAACACTAGTTTAATAATTTCAATACAAAATTATATGATATTTAGTTTACTAGGGGAGCATAAAAACATATAAATAAAAGTTAAGAATTGACACTTTAGGCTTTGTTTGGTTTGTGGGGTGGGGATGAGAAAAAGGGAATATTCTAAAAATATTCCCTTTTCTTATATTTGTTTTAAGGGAAAGAGGGGGATGGGATGAGAAAAAGGTGGGATGTCAGATCCCAAAATGGTGGATTCAGGGTCGCACCAAAACAGTGTGACTCCGGTGGGAAAACTCAAGAAAACGACCATGCCAATGGTAGCATGTGCATTAACAGCAAAGTTTCTGCCTTCAACTCTTAAACACGACCATGCCGAAGGTCCAACCCAGCAGGAAGACAGTCAAGAGGTGCAAAGGTGATCCTACCAAGCAGCGAAATCCGGCAACTCGACGGCCATGTCAAGGCGGCGGAACTCATGTTCGAGATACCCAATTACTTCTTGGTGAATTCCCGATCACTGCAAATAGGACGGGGGTTCTCTGCACTTAGCGCCGATGAAGATTTAGAAATGGGTAAACATAGAGGTTCTCACTGCAAATAGGACAAAGGTTCTTTGCTCTTCGAGTACTGGGGCGGTGCGCATCGAGAATAAACCGAGGTTGAAACGGGAAGAAGAAGAAGAAGAAGAAGAAGAAGAAGAAGAAGAAGAAGAAGAGAGGAGAAAGAAAGTGGGAGAGGTGGGAGATGAAGGGCTCTGTTCATCTCGAATGAAGGAGGAAGGTGAACAGTGAGTTTTTCCATCCCATCCCACCCAAATCTTCCCACAAACCAAACGGAGCCTTAAGGCTCAAACAAATGACCTCACAACAAAGTAAAAGAAAATGACAAAGGGAAATCCAAAATAACATATACCTCTAAGCAAGGTTTAAAATGTCAACATGATATGCCTGATATGAGGCATATCATATCGTACCGATGAGTATCATAAGCGTATCAGTGGCATATCGTCTGATACACTATCGTATTGGTGGCATATTCACCGATATACTACCATATCAATGGAATAACAGTGGATACACTATTAATTATTGAAAGGCAATAACTAAAAAAAGGGTAAAAAAGGCTTCTAACCGCAAAAGAAACCTTCTTTTCACCCCCAAAAATCTTTAAAACAACAAACCCCATTCTCAAATTGAGATCTGCAAAAAAAAAAAAACACACACACACACACACACAAAAGTGTAAATCATCAAGATTTGTGAAGATTTTTCAATATTAAGAAAATATTGTGAAAATAGTTTTTGTTTTCAAATTTTCTCATAATATATTGTGATTTCTTGTGTTTTTTGTTTAATGCTTGAGAATGGTTAAATATATGTTGATCTTTATTTCTTGTGTTGAAAATCATAGATTGTTTTGGTGTTATGAGTAGATTTATGGATTTTTTCAAAGAAATTTGTGTGTGTGTGTGTAGATATATATATATATATATATATATATATATATATAACAAATACCATTTCTTCTTCAATATTTATTTTTTATTTCTATCATTTTTGGATTAAAAATAGATAGTAGTTATTTCAATAAGAACTAATTATTAATTATATTCACTTAGAAGTTATGCTGGTGTATGTTTTATGGTTGGATAGGATATTTAAGCATAGGGTTTTTAATGAAATTTGCAAACTAGATAAAATTACATAAGAAAAATAAACTGATATGTTTTATATGATATGATGATACAATTTTATGATTTCTTTTTAATTAAGAAGCAGAAATTGATATATGATAAAGCCATACAACTTTATGTCAAAATTTTAATTTTTGAATTTTAGTTATTTTTTTAAATAAAAATAAATAAAAAATAACCATTTGATTATTAAAAGAGTTATCACTTTCATTCTTTTGAGTGATTTCTAATTTAGGGAGCTAGATAATTAAATTCTTTCATTGTAGCCTCTTAGAAACAAGAAATATGAATCAAATGTGAAATGCTGAACATGATAGTTAGATACTTGGATAAATTTGAATGTAACATTTAAATGTATTATCATATGCTGATTATGATATTTTTCTTTATAGTTATATATTTATAAGGCTTTATATTTAATGTTATTAATGTATTTTTATGATTTATTAAAGTATCTATAGTGTTTTCATGCGTATTCATGTATATATTGGTTTTTCTTTGATAGATATGCATATCTAAGACGTGTCTTGATATATCTCTTAAAATTGTCTTTTCAATACATTTTCACTTCCGATACTTTAAACCTTGCTTCTAAGCTCATAAATTAAATCCAATGCTATCATATTCAACACCCAAAAAATCCACATACAAAATGCCTCTTTATGATTGTAAAACAAATTATAGGACATAACCTTTTCATCCCCCACCCAACCCAAATCCTGAAAGAAATTTGTGATAAAAAACTAAAGGCTATGTTTTCATAAGCTTCTGTTTCTGAGTTTTGGGATGTGGAAAACAAAAATGGGACAAACTGATTTGAGCATATGATTAGAGTTTCTTCTTCAAATATAGGGTAAATTGTTGAAAACTTCCTGAAGTTTAGTAAATACAATCACCTCCCCTGAACTTTCTAATACAGTTGCAAGTTAACCCTCTTTAATAGAATCTTCTAAACAAAGGCATGGAAATATCCAAAACACCCATGTAGTTACTATTGAGGCTGGTTTCTATGGGAGAAAAACAATACAAACTTTATGAACAACAAAAACAAAGGGAATTTAAAGTTGTAGTTTTACCTTTTAAGTGATTGATATGAAGGGCAAATTTGGAAAATAAACCAATTTCAGAAAAGATATTGGAAGGGTTTGGGGTAGTGATCCATATGAAGAGAATTTTGGAAAATGAACATTTTTGTTAAAAGTAACTGCATAGGTATTTTAGACATTTTATGCTTTTTTTTAGAATATTCTATCAAAGGGGGTCTACTTACAACTATGTCAGAAAGTTCAGGAGAGGTGATTGCAATTGCCAAACTTCAGGGGATGTTCCAGTAATAGCGAAAAACTTCAGGGGAGGTGTTAGCAATTTACCCTAAAATATAATCTAAAGCAAGGTTTGAAGTATCAAAATTCTTGATAGAAATATTTGTATATGGATTCAATGTTTTTTTTTTCTTTTTGTTTTTTTGTTTTTTTTTTTTTTTGATTTGAGAGTTTCTTTGGAGATTATCAAGTGACCTTTTTTAAGAATCTTTCTCTCTCTCTCTCTCTTTATATATATATATATATATATATATATATATATATATACTAACGTTTCGATATTTTGAACCTTGATCTAAAATGTTATATATATATATACTAATACATTTCTAAGCCCAAAAACACAGCCTAAAATTGGAACTTACCCACTGTGAAGTTATGAAGGGATTGTTTTCCCATTCTTTGTCTCCCTAAACTTTCAGCAAGACGGCAAGACCGCAAGATAGGTTTAGATCTTTCAATATGTGAAATCCTAATAGATAAACCATGTCAAACATAATATAGAACGTTGTAAGGCATCCTATCTTATCATGCCATGCCATGTATTATGTATACTGGAATGATATTTAAGATGCTGAAATTATATTCATTACATTTACATCATTTAAAATCTATACCCTAATTCAATACATAACCACAACAAATTATATATTATATATTTATACGTATATTACACATTATGTATGTATGTAGGTATGTTAAATTTAGGTCGAGCTTGGATGCAAAATTAATGCCGGGGCCTGAAAATTTCTGTCAGAGTGTCAATTGGGCTGGATTGGACCAAATCCGGTCCAGTCCAATATGAATCCATTACAGATGGATCAAGTCCAATCCAATTTGATGAATACTCTGGATCATTTTGGGCTAATCAAATTCAATGTCTGGACCATCCAATCTGTTTAAATTGGTTTTAATTTAGATTGATTCCGACCCAAACCTGGTCCATTGACACCCGTATTCTTATCTTCTATCAATGGACCAGATATTAGTTCAATCCGACCCTATCTAATATAAATCTATTACGGATGTACTAGGTCCAATCCAATCCAATAAATACTTTGGACCACAAGTCTAGACTGGTCCAATTCAATATGTCTTATTGGTCCGTCCAATCTGTTCAAATTGATTTTGATTTGGACCGGATCAAACCCAAAACCAGTCCATTGACACCCCTATTATCACACTCATTGTAAAGCAAATATAATATCCAAGGAAATCCTTCGAGGGAAGACAAATAATTTCAGTGTAGGAGAATTAATCTCTGGTCGAGAATAATATCATGAGGAAGAAATTAGAAAGAATGGCAATTCATATCCAGTTAATCCTCCTCCAAATTGATAGAATCCTTGAACTTTCCATACAAAATTTTCTTTAGCTCAGCCATCTCCGCAAGCACTGAATCCTTCTCTTCTTCCAGCTTCCCTAAGTTCTTACTAGTCACCTCTTTCATCTGCTCTATCCTGCTCTCTACTTCTTCATTTGGCATATGAACAAAGACCTCTCCTATTTGGAATTTCATCACATCATCATCAGTGAGGATCAATTCATTGCTTGCATCCTCCAGATTCTCATTTGTTTCCTGCAGTAGAGCATTGACAACAAAGTTATTTGAGAAGCATCTGAAGAAAATGGGAACAATACAAATGATCATTTAATAATAATGACAACAACAACATCATTATTATTGTTATTGATCTTAATACTGCTTCTGTAAAAGAAGTAATCTGGTTATCTGTTCATCCTTCTTTTCTTTTTGAGTAGCAGTTATCTATTCATCTACCAACACAAAATTGTATTCAGTTAGATTTCAGTGATTTGATGAATAATGACTTTAATTAAATAAACCCACAGGCATAGTCGTAGAAATAGCAACGAAGAAAATTTCTGAGTTCGAGAAACTATGGATGACACAAAACAGTGTTAGCATGAGCAGAACTCTCTTATAAGTATTGGAAAAGCTAGAATAACGGAAAGTTGGGAGAATATGCCCAAAAAATGATAGAGTCATACTTCTCTTCCTCAATAAAGCATGGAGTTGCAACAAACTCAATAGGAAGCCTTCAATGAAGTTATCATGAAAATGGGGAAAGATCATCGAGCATCACACTGCAGCAAAAAAATAAAAATTAAAAAAAAGAAGGTGCTTCTGAGTGGAACCCAGAAATGGTTTCATGTGCTTGCCCATGTCAACTCTCTGCCAAATAGCATAAAAGAAGTCTTAAGGGTATATAACTACTGACTTTCATTCATAAGTCATAATATGGTATGGAAGGTCCAGATTGCCAATGCTGGCCTTATGTGTGGCAGAAAACCACATGACTGCATAATTGAAAAACAAGAACAGACAAGAAAGAAAAGCAAGGGGAAGGAGGAAGGAAGGCACATTCTAAATTTCTAATACCTTCCATGTCAGATCTATGTTCTTCCAAATGGTGCAATTCTTTTTCCGAGCAATACAACCCACTGATTTTTGAAAGTTCTTTTTTTATCAATAACGAGTAAATTTATTAGAAAAATGATCTATAACGAATTTTGAAAGTTCTACTTAGGAAACAAATACTAAGATACAAGTCTTTTTTTTCTTGGGCCGCAGACATACAAACATGTGTGTATGCATCACTTTGTTAGTAATGACGATTAAAGATCCTTTCCCACCCAACACTGTTTCTACTTTTTTTTTTCTTTTTACTACATTTGAAACTACAGTGAATTACATAAGATATTGATAAACCAATTAAAATTAAGCCTATCCCTTTGTGGCACAAGCTAGACAGTTATACAAAAAATATTTAGGTAAGGACAACCACATTCTATCTGAAGTCTCAAAACTCTGGATTAAGCAAACTCATTTGATACCCCAATAACAGATTATCTCATTTTTGTTTCTCTTAACCTTTCAGGAATGAAATTGATGTTGATCGTATGGGTTCAAAAACCATGGAAAACTAAAATTAACTCATTTGTCAAGTCTAACAGACAGTCAGACACCTCCTAAGAATGTCAAGCCCATGATGACCATTGAATCTAATTATTTGAATGACCTAAAGACTTTGAGGATCTGGAATCAGTACAAAGAAAATCTGGGACCAACAACACATGGACACACAGAACACCTAGTTGATGCAGCCAACTAAAACCACTCGATTAAAACTTAATGTACCTATTGGGGACTCAATTTTCCTAAACTTTCCTTTCGGATAGTCAAGGTGCCGAACCCAGACACCAAATTCACTTGTTCATTAGCTCTCAATTCAGGAACTGATAGCTGTCTCTTGTCTGGCTAGAAAAATGAAGAACAGTTAGAAAATTCGTCCAGTTTACTTTCATTTCCCTCTATATCAAAATACAGTAAAAAGAAAAAAAAGAAAAGCTCTTAACAAGGTCAAACCATGTATGGGTTTGGCTGACGGTGAAATCTCAGTTGAGATTATCCTCTTAGGTTAGGTGTACCTTAGCAATCTTGATCTCTTCCTCAAGCTCGTGAAACCTGTTGTTTAATCTTCCGAATCTGTTTATATTCTGTTGATCCTCCCATGTCACTTCGGTGCCCGATCCTCCGCCCTTCAAATTATACCAGTAATTTCAGACCCACGAAGAACATGTAAAAAAGGAAAATAAGACAAAATAGGAAGAAAAGAAGACCAGAAACCAGAGTTTTATGGGTTTGCCTGTTGCATCCTGGATTCAACTTCAACGGGAGAAGGCAACAGCAGCAGTAGTCAGCAAGCGAGACTGTGAGAGTGAGGGCAACCTAAAATTGTAAAAAACCTATGACGCAGAATAAAAGTAGAGGGTATTAATCAATGACCAAGGAAATAGGTTTGATTTCTTAAGCAAAATTTTGGTTGAACAAAACGTATAATTTGTATTAATCAATTCATAATATACATTTGAGGGATTTTCCATTGATGGGTTGAGTTTGTTTATTAAGTTATTTATTTTTGTCATGCTACAGCCAAAAATGGAAACCATTTGATAATGTTTTTTTTAATGTTTATTTTAAGAATCTTTTGAAGAATATTTCTATTCTTCTAAGGGTTTATTTGGGTCATAGTCAGAATCAGAATTAGAATTGGAATCAAAATTCTTCAAAATGGGAATGGGAATGGTTACAAGAATGGATGGGAATTAAAATCAGCAGAAGTAAAATTTCATTCCTAAGAAAAAGGACAGGAAAATGACCATTCCAACAGAAATGGGAATGGAATTTTAATTCCATCCAACCAAACAGTTGGAATCAGAATAATCCGATTCCAATTCCAGACTCCTATTCCCGTGAACCAAACTGGGCCTGAGTTCTGAAAGCTGAGAAACCCACATTTGCAACGACAGTGTGCGCTAAAACAAAGCCTTTGATTCGTTATCATGGCCCTACATTAAATTAGATGAAGTGACTTCTACATCTAATGGCATGATTTTCCAGTGTTGTAGCCAAAGTGAAACTGAGAAGTGTAACTTTAAAAATTAAACCATGGTTTGTATCACAAGAGACAAGATATTGGTATCAAAAAGTTGTATATTCTACCAAGGTTCTATAAGAGTGTTTTCTTTGTAGATTTCTTTCATTTTTTTGTGTGAAAAGAGGTGGGAAATCATTTTTATCAAATTAAATCCAAACACCATCTTAATCAAATCCACTTTTTTTTTTAGATAATCAAATCCACTTAAAAAGGGAGCATTACTGATATGGGCACTCCTGAATTTTCGGTTATAAATAGGAAATGTAGAATGTTATTTTCGCAAAATCCTCAATGGCAACTTATGCCCAATTAGTTCTCAAAGCGCTTTTCAAGCATCAAACAGGCTTTATAAGGTTCGTTGATATGTTGGGATTATTAATGGTGGATGGCACCAAATACCTTTTAGGAATTTTTGAACTGCAATCCCTCTCAGAAATTGAATTTGCAGCCCCCTCCTAGTCTATTGCCCGTGAATTTGGCATCAATCTACAGGTAGGATTCAGTCCACTCCTAGTCTAGTAGTAATTCCACTTAGGGGTGGATTGAATGGTAAAAACACCCCTAGGGTGGAGCTACTAGCAGACTAGGAGGTGACTGTAATTTCAGATTTCTGAGGGGGAGTATCTACTTATCCCAAAAATAACAACAAGCTTTCTATTAATTGCTATCACTGCTCGGATAACTTCACCAAACATATTTATTTTTCCCTTGTTTTTTGTACATTTTACAATGTCAAAGTATATATTCTTTTTCTTTTTTCATATTTTATTTTATTTAACTAATCATTTGTCCATGGGGATATTAGAGAATATGATTTTAGAGGCCAAGTTTGGAGAAAGAATATAAAGAAACTTTTCTGTTATTTCTGTTTTCGATTCATCAAATTGAAGTAACATGAAAGGGATTTGCGGAATGTGCCAAACCTAAGACTTGAAGGGTGTTTGGTATGGTCGTTCAAGACAAGGTTCTAAATATCGATACGCCGGTAGGGGCGTATCGGGCAGTATCGATACTGTTTTTTTACTTTTTTTTTCAAAACCAGTTCAGGGGGACCGGTTTAAGTCTCCTCCATCCCCTGAATCGGTCAGTACCCTGATACACCCTCTATAGGGGCGTATCAAGGTGCTCCCAATACAATACGGGCCAATACATGCCGATACTTTGAACCTTGGTTTAAAAGTGCCCCATTTGCTCGATGCACAACCTATTGAACAATTGCCATGTCAATGGTAAGGTCATCTAGGTCGATGGATGGCCAAACACACATCATTTTGGACATTTTCTCTTCTTCATGCATGTCAATCAAATAATTTTGGAAAAACAATCAATTATTAAAATTCATATATTTATAAAATTAACAATAATTATATATATACCCCTCTCAAGACACCCATATGGCTGGGATCAACATAGAATAACAAAAAAAAATCCTTTCTAAGATTTGTTTATATTTTCCTAACATATATATATATATATATATATATATATATATATATATATATATTGGAAGAAATTATAAGGATTTTTCATATCTGAATATCTGATTATAGCGCTGTCCATGGATCAGGTATGAGGTCAAAGTACGGTCCTAATTGTCTCAAAAGTCCAAGGTTCAAAGTATCGTTACATATCGGCCGATACATATCTTTCTGGGACCCTTCCGGTACGCCCCTACAGTGGATGTATCGGGGGTCTGACCGGTTCAGGGGATGGAGGGGTCCTAGACTGGCTCCACTGAACTAGTTTTGAAAAAAAAAAAAAAGTAAAAAAACAAGTATCAGAACACCCGATACACTCCTACCGGCGTATCGGGCGTATCGATATTTTGAACCTTGCTCAAAACAACCAAAAGATCAAAAACCAATCCTGACCCAATGTCAAGACACGAATTGCAGACCTATCTGTCGGGTCTACCCGACCCATCGACAGCCCTGCCTGATTGCCAACCTTGGGACTTCTCAGCAGAGACATTTTTCTATGGAATAATCAATCAGCTTAACTTTGCTCCTCCCCCACTCAAACCACCACAAGAGAGTGAAGCCACATAAACGTCAACAGAAGGTGCCAACAAAACTGCATTTAGAGCATGACAGCTATGAAGGGAGAACTCAGAACTTGGTCGCATATGCATAATAATCCATTACCTGTAGATTACTTTTGTGGTAACAAAGATAACAATGATTAATTTTGTTAGACACCTAACAAGAAGAAAGAATAGAAAGCGTAAGAGTACATGAACAGGTTGGAGACATATATCACATCTGACACACTTACGCATGACATGTTGGTAACAAACACATAAATAAACCGTAGAACCCATTCTAAGAAGCATCTTTGATCCAATAACCTGGATTGAGTCAAGTCTCAAGATCCAGAGAGCCTTATTGAATATGGGAACGAAGAATTAGCGAGGCAACAAAGGGTATCAAGGGGGCTGAGACTTTCGAGCATAGGCCAAAACCATCACAAAATCTTTGGCTGATGTACCCACAGATGCAGTTTCTCTTCGTGATGCAGATGTTGTCCATCGCCACAGATCTACTAAGTCATGCAGTTGCAATGTCGGGTCTACTGGTTGGCCCCGGCACATGATCTCAATCTATAAGACAATCAACCAAAGAATCAGTGGGTATTTGGTAAGACAAAGATAAACAAAACAATCTCTTGTTCACATGAAACATATCAACCTATATGCAAAGTCAAACTCATGTTTCCGTGTGAATGAATAGTCTAAAAGGAGGTTTCAGCATTTTACTGCATACCCAAGGATTTATTGTAGAGTAAAGAACAAAAAAATGTAGAGTATAGATTAACCCTTCCTTGAAACAGCCTGTTTTTATATTCAAATCTCAAGTTAGTTTTCATATCAGATGAGAAAAGAACACATACTAATATGTTGGGAGATTTTCCTTGGAAAGATAAACACCTGTGACTTACTGCAGAAAAGGAGGCCAAACAAAAATGCCTTTCCTCCTCATATGTGCATCCTATGCAAAGAAACTGGTGAATCTATTTCCCATATCTTTATTTCCTGCCCTTTTGTGCTTTTGTATTGGGAGCATCTTTGTTCTCTCTTTGGGTGCAGGTGGTTTCCCCCTCAAGATGCGGTGGGTCTCTTAGACCGAACATCTTTAGACAGCCAAAGAGGAAGGATTTTGTGGAGAACAGTAAGGGTGGATTTGGACCATATAGGAAGAAAGGAATGGAAGGATTTTTCAATGAGGAGCAGATCTGAATTGGAATTTTTTTTTTGATAATTGAAAATTAATTCAATAATCAAAGGGTAGAACTGTTACAAATAAGCCCAGAGAGAGGCTTGAGGTGCAACCTCACTCTTAAGAAAATCACAATTACATGAAAAATACAAAACTCACCAAAAGAGAGATTAAACAATTACAAAACTTCCCGGAACAGAGAATCTCTGTTAATGTTTTGCAAGAGTATCAGCCATCTTATTATCTAACCTTCTTACCCATTGGATCTTCACTGTCATATTCCTTGTAAACCAAACAACCTTCTTAAGGAGGTCTCTGAATCCCCAGACAGTCGAATCCGGATCCAGTAACCATCCCACAACGATCTGGGAATCACCTTCAATTATCAGCCTTCCTATACCAAGTTGACTGACTTGCTGAATCCCCTATACAGCAGCTAGTAGTTCAGCTTTGGTAAGAGTCTCCTAAGCCAACTAGGCCTGGGAATAAAGCTAAAACATTTCTGTCCTTATCTCTCAAGACTCTTCCTATGCCATAGGGGCTAAGGGTTACCTTGGCTGCTTCCATCAAAGTTTAGTTTAACAAAATCCTCAGCAGGAGGGATCCAATCTGCAACATAACTCTGTTTTGAGGATGAAGTGCTAGCCACTGTTGACCAATTCCTCCAGAAGTCATCAAAGGAAAAGAGTTGGGCCAAGTTTGTTGTTCTTAACCAGTTTATTGCCCTTATTATTTTGCAGTCCTTCAATTCAGAAAGACTTCTCTCTTTATTGTGGAAGATTCTAGTGTTCCTCTCCTCCCAAATAGTCCATAAGGAAACCACCCTAATGCACCTCCACATCAGTCTTCCTCTTTTGGATTGCCTACGGAGGACTGAGGGTTTAAACAGCTGAGAGACCTGCTGGCAGCAACCACCTGCAACCGAAAAGGGCAAAAATCCACAAGCAGATAGCTGTAGCAACAAGGCAAGATAAAAACAAGTGAAAGCAATCCTAACCATTGGATTGCGAAGAGAACACCAATTTGGGGACAAGCACAAATAAGGCCTTTTCTTCTGCACCATGTCCAAAGTATTAACCTTCCCAAGGAATACTTCCCAACAAAATATAGACTTTCGGGGGGATAGGCTTAGTACAAACTTCCTTAACTGGAAAGGGAGAAGAGATAGGGGACATGCAAAGGATTTTGAAAAAGGAACCTTAGGAGAAGGGGACCAAATCCTTTCATCTGACTTAATGGGGGGTCCTTGTGGCATGAGGTTATAGATCTGAATTGGAAGTTTTGGATGCAGTAAAAAGTTGCACATTGGATGAAGATTTTAGAAGCCTCTCAAGTATTCTCACTGAATGACATTTTGAGAACTGGCAAGGAAGTGGCACTTTTGGCTCAAGAAAGAAAAGAAAATCATGGAATGGAGACCTCCGGCAACCAACTTTGTAGAACTTAACTTTGATGGAAGCTTTATAGGCAATCAAGGTATGGCTGGGTTAGGAGGGGTCTTCTGCGACTTAGAGAGCAAGGTAGTAGCTTTATTTTCAGGACCTCTTGAGCATGTGATTCATTGACAGTAGAATTGATGGCCTTACTCCATGGTGTAAATTTTGCAAAGCAGCTTGGGTCCCATCAATTGGAAGTGGAAGGGGACTCTCAGATGGTCATTTCTCAGACAAGATGTAATACCCAAATCCCTTGGAAGTAGACACACACCTTTTGGAAGATTGAAAGTATAACAAGGGAGCTGTCACTTCTAAATGGGTGAGGAGAACTGCTAATGGGATGGCGGATACTCTAGCTAAACAAGGTGCTTTTCGACATCAAATGTTTTGGGCAAAATTGTAATCGTTTGTTTGTTTGGGGTGGAGAATATTAATACCTTGATGTAACTTCAATATTTCCTTAATAAAATTCCTTTTGCTGACCAAAACGCAAAATAATAATAACATATACTAATAACCCTTGCATTTGATAAGAGATATTTTGGTCACAACCACCATCTGTTAAGAATTTAGATGCACTGTATAACTTCCTGCAAGAGTTTTGACATGGTTATGAAAAATAATTTAAGATAGACCTAGAAAAGGATGAAGTCATGGCAATCCAAATGGAATAGAAGATCAAACCAGATCCATCTACCTTATTTATCTATCTTCTGTTCCTTAATTATATCAATTCTCAAGCTAAATCTCTTTCCCTGGAAAACTCTTATACAGAGAGGCCAGTTGCAATGAAATTCACCTCCATCAAAACACTTTCTCTCTCCCAAGAAACCATTTCTTCTTAAAAAGTTTTTTCACTAATCCTCTTGGCAAATCAAACTCTAAACCAACTACAGGCCATCTCTTTTGATTTTTTTTTTCTTTTTACCCAATTGGTTTTACCATTTTTTAGATGGGCAATCCATTTGGTTTACCATATCCAATTTTTACCAATAACTGTAACTTTGATTAATTAAAGATGATATAAAAAGTACAAAATTTTACAAATGAGCTTAAAACATTTGAAACTCGCCCAACCCCTTGTTTTTCCAAGGCATCAGCCATGGTGTTACCGATCCATTGAATTCTTACATCCATACCCCTAGTTATCCATTTAATCTTCTTTAACTTATTTTTATACATCCAAAAGTCATTCCCTTTGTTTTGCAGCCACTTAATCACCAGTTGAGAATTCCCTTCTATAATTAGCTTGTGCACATCTAACTCCTTTGCTTTGATTACCCCTTCTACAATTGCCATTTCAGCCCTCAATGAATCTCCAATTCCAATCAGACTTGAGAAGAGTGCAACCACTTGACCTAACTCATTTCTAAACCAGCCTCCTACACCTGAGGGGCCTGGGTTCCACCTACTACTGCCATCAAAGTTCAGTTTTATGTACCCCAGTCAGTGGTGTCGAAGACATACTAATTTGGGGTTTGAAAGATGACGAGTTAGCGACTTCCTATAAAAGTCATCCACTGAGTGTCTGATCACACAAAAATGATCACGCTCCCAAAGCCCATCCTAACAATGTTGTCCCCACATATCTACAGCAAATCTCACAAAATAATGATCTCGCTCCCAAGACTTTCTCCTAATGATCTCATTCTCGTGAATCTACCCCTGATCTTGCAAAATGATCTTGCTCCTAAGCCCCTTCCACAGTCTCGCCCTCGCGAACTCATCCCATTTCTCCTCTAAGAAGATCTACCTCATAATCCCAATCTCACATACAGGGACTCATTCCCAAAGCCGTTCCCATATGCTTAAGCCTGCTTCAAAAATCATCCTGTCTTCTACAATTTCAATCTTGGGACATCAATCTCGTTTCAGTAATATCCTGCACTTAATAATGCTGAGCCTTAACATCTTGGGGGCTAATCTTTCTAAAATTCTTAGAATTTTGGTGTCTAATCTTTCTAAATTTCTTCAGAATTTTGGGGGCGCTAATCTTTCTGAAAATTCCTCAGAATTCTGGGGGCTAATCTTTCTAAAAATTCCTCAGAATTTTTACGGCTAATCATTCTCAATTTTTCTTTTCAGAATTTTCGGGGCTAATGTTTCTAAACTTTTTTAGAATTTTGGGGGGCTAATCTTTCTAAATTTCTTCAGCATTTTGGGGTTCAACATTTCTTGAAAAACTTTTAGAATTAATATTAAAAATACACAGAGTTTGGCAGCTTAGTTGAATCTCTCGCCCCCAAAATGGGAGCTAATGGTTGAGACTTGAGAGCAAGGGTCAAAATACCTGACCTAATTTCTGCTTAATGAATGGCTTCTCTTATTGCTAAGTGCGGGGCTAATCTGAGAGAGTGGATAAGTATAAGGCAATAGTGGGATCACGGTGCCTCATCACGAGTACTTAACAAGTGCAATCTTGCTAAGCCTAGCGAGCTCCTAATACTCACAAAGCTATTCCTTGTATAACATGGGACCTCATATGAAGGAGAATTGTTCTAATCTCTTAGGAGTACAACGTGGGATCTTGTACAAGGTAATTCTGTCTCAGTAGGATTTGCCCAACGCGAGATACTCTATTTTAACGCTCTAAGTGTAGTAGACAAAGGCACTTGTACTGGGACGAATGGTAAAATTGTAATGAAGGCAATATCAAGTTGTGGGAAGACTTATTGAAAAGATTCATGGGAAAGTGGTTCATGATGGGCAGGAAGACGAGTATAGCAGAGCTCAGGAATGTTCACCAAGGTGATGCAGAAGATCTTGCAGCCTATGTCCTGCATCTCAGACAGATTATACAGTTAGTATATGATGTGAAGGAGAAAGATTTTGTCGATGAGTGTGTGAGAGAGTGGATAAGTATAAAGCAACAGTGGGATCACAGTGCCTCATCACGAGTACAAAACAAATGCGATCACGCTAAGCCCAACAAGATCCTTATAAGGGTCTCGCAGAGCTATTCCTTGTATAACATGGTACCTCGTGTAAAGAAGACTTATTCTAATCTCTTAGGAGGAGTACAATGTGGTTGCATGAGATAAATCCATCTCAGGAGGACTCGCCTAATGTGAGATCCTTTATTTCAAATGCTCTAGGTGCAACTGATAGAGGCATTTGAATTGGGACATGTGGCCAAATTGTAATGGAGGCCAGGGAGGTCGTGCTTGATAGTACCTAGTGCCTCCTTAGACACATGTTTCTCTCTGAATGGCCCCCAAGAACATGGGCATAACTTACTTGTGGTCCCCCAGAGGCATGCATCCTTACCCGAGGAAAGCACGAAATTTTTTCCCCGCTTATTCACCTAAAGCGAAGATTCTGAAAAGGTCTGAGCTATGCACGTTGAATGGAAACTATCCCCTATAAATAGGAGACTTAGGTCCTCATTCAAGGATAACTTCTTCCCTAATCTTACTCCAATTCTTATCTCAGGTTTAGACCTTACCCTTTCTTCTCTAGATTTATTGTCCTTCAATCTCTAATGCTTTTCCCTACCCACGGTATTCCAATCCCAACTTTTAGAGCTCTCAGACTATCCTTACCCTGTTGACTTATAGAGTGCATTAAAGGGATGCAACCACACTACAGGGTTCACCTTGAAAGTCTAGGCATTTAGGAGTTCTCCAAATTTTAGGTATTCATTCTAACCAAAGTGTGTCCAAAGGATGATCTCCTATTGCCCAACGTGGATATTTTGATCAACTCAATAGCAAGCCAATAACTATTCTCTTTTCTGGATGCTTACAACAGGCATAACCAAATAAAAATGAACCCTTTAAATGCCCTAACAGCCTTCAAGACAAGACACCAATAGGGAATTTTTACCATAGAGTAATGCCCTTGGCCTTAAGAATGTGGGAGCAACTGACCAAAGATTATGACATGCATTTCCATGATATGATCCATAAAGGGATGGAGTGCTAAGTAGATGATGTAATGCTAAAGGCCAAGAATAGAGAAGATCATGTAGCAATCCTCAGAAAAGTCTTCATAGGGTGTGAAGTTTACAATCTAAGAATGAACCCAAAGAACTGTGTCTTTTGGGTGAAGCGAAGAAAATTCTTAGGGCATAGAGACAACTAGAAAGGGATCACCCTAATGAAACAAAAGTTAAATCAGTTTTAGGCTTGCCACAATCATAGAATGAATCCCAACCGAAAAACTTTTTAGGGAAGGCATCCTATCTTAGGAGATTCATCCCAGGTTTAACAGCAACAACAACCAAGGTTCAAAGTATCAATATGATACACTTCATATCGGGTGTATTATATCATATCTTTAGGGGTCCGATACACCTGTTTACAGGTGTTTTTTGGGAACTCTTTTTCTAATGAATAATATATAAAATTGAAATTTGAAAAAAAAACTAAAAAAAAAAAACATTAAAGGCGCATGGTTTAAAGCCTCACTAATAGAAGTTAAAGAATTCAAACTATACCTAACCTCTAGCCTAGATGAAATAGGATGTCTCATAGCTCAGTAGAATGAGTGTCCAATATACTATGCCAATAGAACTTTGAAATAGGCTGAAAAGAACTACTCACTAATGGAGCAACAAAGTCTGTTTGTAGTTTTTTCTACACAAAAATTCAAGCACTACATCTTAGGTCACAAAGTCTTCTTAATATCCAAGAATGACCCTATAAGATTCTTTGTTGATAGACCACCACTCTCTGGAATGCTAGTCATATGGCTGATGCAGCTAAGTGAGTACTCGATAGAATGTACCCAATTCAGAGCAATAACATGCCAGGTAGTTGCCAGTAGCAAACCTATTAGCAAGACAATACCTGGTGAGTTTGCCAATCATAGTAATAGTAGAAAATGCAGAATAGGTATTAATATTTTGATGAGTTGTTAACCAACAATAGAAGGTATTCTAGTCTTTTTCTATTTTATTAAAGAGATGTTATGTCCTTTTTATTCTACTTTAAGTTGTGTCCCATACTTAAGTAGGGGCACTTTAGTCCTTGTACACATCTTTAAATAATATGGATTGGCTGGGTTGGTTGACTTCTTTACTTAGTCGACTTCTGTTCTCTCCCATCTTTTTCTTCTCTCCATTTTCTCTTGACTCTTAACCTCACTATTTCATGGTATCAGAGCATCAAACAAAGACCCAAAGCCTCAATATCAGAATCATAAACCCCCATGCAGTTCACAAACTCATGCCTACACAAACCCCCAGCGCCACCCAAAAATAAAGGACCAAAATTACATCAATAGGAGTACAACCTTGAACCAAAACTAAAACAGCCCATGGGGGCTAATTTTCCTTCCAAAACCCTCAGAACCTTGGGGGTTGCACTTTTCTTGAAAATTCCTCAGAATTTTAGGGGATAATCATTCTTAAAAATTCCTCAAAATTTTGGAGGCTGAGTTCTGTCAATAATTTCTCAGAATTTTGGAGGCTGATCTTTCATGAAGATTCTTCAAAATTTTGGCAGCTGATTTTCTAATTCCCCTTGAAAATTCTTTGGAGCTTTGGAGTTACATGCAAACCTGGGAAATTTCACACAAGTTCAAAATGATTTTAGAAGCTTCGTTCTCTGAATCTCGCTTCCAAAATAAGGGCTAATAACTGAGAGTAAACCCTCTGCACGCTATTGGGAATCCTAGATAACTGCATCTCTGAAGATCGTCACCTCGTGCAATGCAATAGGTCCTGTTGGATGACTGACACAGACCTAGTGAATCCCCTATAAGAACTTGCTGGTGTTGGCCTCAGTATGTTATTGCGAGTCCTAAACACTACTTCCCAGAGGATCATGGCCTTGCACAAGACAACAGGCCTCACAGCACGACCTTCTCGAACATAAAAGGGACTCACTAACTACAAGTTCTTACCTCTCTTGCATAGGGAGCACCACAGGCACAACTGACACATGCACCCAGATTGTGCCACATGGTGGAATCATGAGAGAGGCTGGGAAGGCTACATGTGCCCGTACTCGGTACTCTCCAGACACATGTCTTCACCTGGTAGCACTCTAGGGCATGGGCAGGATTGTACAGCGGTCCCTTTTAGGAGACGTACCTCACCTGAGAGAGGCTCGGGATTTTTCCGCCATCACCCACGATGCTAGAGAATGTTCTAGAAGGATCCAAGCCATGCATGTCTACATGGCAATCTTCTCCTATAAATAGGAGATTTTGGATCCTGAAAAGGGGACTTGACACACCTTCCCCTTTCCTAATCCTACCTTTTCTGAGACATTCTAGGAGTATCATCCTTGGCATTCGAACCCAACTTTCAGGACCTACAGACTACTCTTTCCTGTCGACTTACAACAGTACAGACATTTGTTGAGATAAATAAAGGAAATAGCCTGAGAGACAGTTATAGAAATTACTTGGATACATAGATCAGCAAATTGTTGGGTTGACTTACTTGCAAAACAGGGGGAAAATAGGAATTCAGTATATTGGGGGTAGAAAGTTAGTAAGAGTAAACAACTACATATATATATATAGTTGTAAACAAAAATAAAAAACAAATGGTGTCATAGCTTAATGTTAACATAGCATTGCTTGTAAATGAGAGGTCATTGGTTCAAATCTATTCACTGTTTTCAATGGTTCATCCAGGTCAATAGCAGGTCAGACAGTGCCTGAAAAATCTCAAAACCAGAAAGCCCACCATTTCCCAAATCCAACAGTCCAACCATCTGGTTCAGTCTGAACTTTGGATTGGAGATCTCATTGTATTGACCGACCACTGAACGTGGATTTTTATTTTTTTCCCTACAGAGATAGGCATTGTATCTCCTTTTCTCTCATCAGTTAGGTCTTCTATCTCTTCTTTCTCTTTTTAGGCTCAGTTTGGAAGGACTACAAATACAAATATGTAGAGTGCAAAACCTTGTATTTTGTATATATTTGTACTGTACATATTTGTATTTGTACTCTTTCCAACTAAGCCTTAATAAAATTTATTTGTACTCCTTTGAGAATATTTATCCATTACATTTTTATTGGTACTGGCTATATTTGCGTTAAAACAAAAGGGTAAAGATAATATATGTTGTCAAACTTGTTAACAATGCCTCCAGCCAACATATGGTAAAAATTTTGACTTGGTATTGCATCTGAGTGGTTCCCCTGTGCAAGTCCCAAGTACTTGAATGCAGGCAATGGCCTAGTCCAGTGGCTCTATGTAACGTGAACATCAATCCACCATGCTGCTTAGGGACTTGGGATGGGTATAGTTTCTATGATATATTCTTAGGTGGATCTATATAGTGGGGATGAGGACTATGGCCATGAGAAGAAGCAACAGAAATAAATTCAAACACCTATGGCAAGAAACCAAAGCAACCTAAGGTTAAAATTCATTCTATGCATCACAACAATCAAAGAAAGCATAGACCATTTTCCCTGCTACTTCTATGTGACTTGTTGTATAGAAATAGCCAAAACAGCTACAGTGAGCTCATTGGCCTCCTTTCTGATGATCAATTATGAATTCACTCACCTCAGCCTCACTAGCAAGATTGAGTTTCTTCACAAGGTACCTCTGTATAAATGAAACAGGCAAATTTCCATCCCTATAACAAAGAATAACAAATTAATATGAGAATTTCAGACAGAAAAAGATATTCATCATTCCAATAACAAGTTAAACTGTTCATCTCCAGACCTTTTGGATAGACAAAGTTGCAAGAAGTAACAAGAAGAAACAGCAGTAACACCAACTGAGACATTGTTGTTGAACTGGTTTATTGCCAGGTCTTATAAAGAAACAGAAAATTCTTTAACCAGAAAGTGGAAGAAGTGAATAAATAATCTTTTAGGCTTTTGTAGTTTGAGGTGTATTGCCATGTATATACATAATTACCATGCTGTACCTTGACATCCCTAAGTTATATATATATATATATATATATATATATATATATATTATTCACCCAGGTGCTTGATACTTTCAGGACTTGCCAATTCCCATTTACTACTTTCTAGCTTCTTGTAAGCATTCTGCCTTCCTAGATTTTCCTAGTTCCTCATCATGCATTGGGACAGGTCTGAGGTCTCAACTTCATTAATGGCCATCTGGCAATCCTGATCATGAAGTTGGGAGTTGAAGTGTAAACTTGGGAGTTGGGAACCAGTATGAATGGTGAGTTGGGTATTGTACTTGCAGAAGAATCTTGAACTGAACAAGATGGTTGATGCAGTTGGGCTGGAACAAACTAACAAAAGACAGAGAGAGAGAGAGAGAGAAAGAGAGGAGAAGGGGTAGAGAAAGAGAAAAGAGAGAAATCCCAAGGAATCACTCCAAGGGGTCCTAGAATCACTCTAGGGTTTGTAGGAATCACTCCATACAGCAAGAGAGCTCTTAAGAAATCTTCATTCATTCATTAGCTTCAAAAGGAAGAGAATGCTGTTCACCATTTTCCTCTTAAGAAATCTTAAGAGTTCTAACAGTATTCCGGGAACATCAATTTATATAGAGTGACTTGTGGCCCGGAATACTGTTCACCATAATTACAAAAATGCCACTCCTTGTCTTGTGCATCAAGAAACACAATAACTTTCTATCTACTAATGCAAATAAACTGAAAATTGAAAGATAAGCCCTACTAGCCCAGGCCCACATATGACTAGTTAAAATGACGAAAATACCCCTGACCAGATCAGTCCAAGTCCCAAGAGTCTTCCCCATGCCAAATCAAAACCTGTTTGTTGGCCTTCTTCTTGCGAGAATAGGCCTTATAATGCCTGGACCGATCCCCATCACTGGTATCTTGGAACTGATCATCCAGCAAGTGGACCTGTAACCAGCAAACTTCCCTTAAGATCTTAAGGGTGGTTTATAACATTAGAACAAAAGGATCTTGGTTAACATATGCATGGTTTTATCAATTTATCCCAGAGAAATCCATCAGTTGAAGTGGATTGACCCATCTTAGATGTTTAGTAGACAAATGATTTTTTATAATTATGGTTTTTCCATTAAATTTAATTTTCTACTAGGTCATCTTTAGATTGGTGAAAAGAGGAATCAGGAGAAGAAAATAATTCTTGTTTTCTTCTACCCTCAATTCTAGGCCATGCTTCATCTTTTTCTCTATTTTCTTCTTCTGAAGAAGAATAAGATAGTAGCATTTGTATGCATGCCAACCTGAAAAGCAAAAGAAAAAAGCAAAGAAAAGAGGAAGAAAAGAAGGGGAAAAGAGGAGAAACAGTAAAGAGAAAGAATAGAGAGAAAGAGAGGGAAGAACAGTCAAGAGAAGTCGATCTCAACTCTTGACAGTTGACCCAGGATCTACTTTCATTCATTAAAGGTCAAAATTACAACTATACACTCAGTAACATAAGCTGAAGATAGAATAGAAGAAATAACAGGGAAAAGACAAATCTGTCCCTGTCAACTAACTTTAACAGTATGAATACAGTCTAATAGATGTACATAAGAAGATTTACATGGTGTACAGAAAGAATGAAAGCCCTGCCCAAAAATTACAATGGCAGGGACCTATTAGTAAACCAAAAAGACCCTCTTAGCCCCAGACCTAGCAAGCCCAACAGCTGTTGAATTCATTTTCCTCTGCATCCACCTTACTTGAGCTTGCAAGGCTGCAGTTTTTCTCTCTATTCTCGTTCGAAAAATGCCCAGTCTCCAGGGACCATTTCCTATCCCTTTAATGCACCTAATTCTGTTTTCTGAGTTCCCTTCAATGTATAATAAGGTTAGGCCCATCTGTATAGAAATTTGTAGGTCCATTAATAGGGAGATGACTCCAACCTCAGCATGAACAATTGGTCAATTGAAGGCCCAAAATATGCTCACTTCACCAAATGATCTCTCTTCTCACCACCCACATAAAACAAGAGATTTTGTTGGAACTGCTTCATATGGACTCTTACTCTGGTTAGATACAGAATACTGACATGAAATATATAGGGAGGTTGGAGAGTATCAATTTCAACAAGGTTATTCCTCCTTTCAAGATGTAGCCTTTCTTCCATGTGGCAAGTCCTTTTTGTGTTTCTCTATGACTAGATCCAAAATTCAAGAACTCTAGAGTTGCCCCCAAGTGGCATACCCAAATAAGTAAACAGCCAATTCTCCATTGTGCATGACAAGATGCTTTTGTACACTTTGTAGATTCCAACCATGCTTCTCTTAGAAAAATTTATGTAGAGGCCCAATACTGCTTCAACAAATTGAATGGCCCATTTCAGATGTATCAATCCTTCTGTGCTAGCTTCACGGAGCATACTAGTGTTATCTGCAAATGCAAGTGGGTGATGTGACTTTTTTTTTATAAATGTGGGTGATGTGAATTTTCTATCTACCTAATCCTGAAGGTTGAGAATTTTATCCTTCTCAATGAAGTGACTAAGAACATATGCCACCAAGGTGAAAAGAAACGAGGATAGAGGACATTTTTCCATAACCCACATTAAGCTCTAAAATATCGTTTTGGAGAGCCATTAATCAATGTCGAGAACCATGCAGAGCTAATGCATCCCCTTATCCATGTAATCCATCTTCTGCCAAATCCAATAAGTTGAAGAATTTTTAGGAGACATTCATTAGGATTATTTGAATTTTACTATCAAGGTATACACTATGATTCATTGGGGGGAAAACTCAAGGGCCTCTAATATTTCCTTCCAATCTTTACTTCCATTCCATAGTTAACAACAAGATGGTCAATCAACTATCATGTTTTTTTTTGTTTTTTGGTCAACAACAGAAACAATTTTATTAATGCAAAGAAGGAACAGATACAATATGGAAGATGGAGGGGTAAACTCTCTTAACCCTCCCCAAAAATAAAATCAAATTACAACACAACCAAGAATAAATTGTCCCTTCCCACCCCTTGTTTTGCAAGTACATCAGCAAAAGAATTAGCACTTCTCTTCATCTATTGTAGCCTTAACTCCATGTCTTGATAAGCTACTTAAACTTCTTCTCACTGACAAATTTCCACAAACCATTCTCCTCTTTTTGTAGCCAACAAATGACCAGCTTTGAGTCACCTTCAACAATCAGCTTTCTGATATTCAATTCTTTTGCTCTTTTTACCCCTTCCATCATTGCCATTACTGCAGCTTTGAGTGAGTCACCTACTCCAACAAAACCCAAAAATAATGCAATTACATTCCCTTCCTCATCAGTAAATACTTCAACATCAGATGGGCCCGGGTTACCTTAACTACTCCCATCAAAATTCAACTTTATGAACTCAGCTTCTGGTGGGGACCAAAGTGGATTCCAGTTTCTGGCCAAAACATCAGCAGAAATACCCTCAAGAATATCCAAGGATTTCACCCAGTGAATCACCCTGACAGTAATGATTTCAAGGATGGATTCTTTGCTTCTTTCCTTTTCAGAAAAAATTCTTCGGTTCCTTTCTTCCCAAATTGTCCAGCAAATACCAGCTATTGCACATCTCCACAACATTTTACTCCTCTTCTTTCACCCCTTAACAGAGCAAGAAGAAAACAAACTTTGTACATTTGGTGGGGGGTCCACCACTCCATCTGCAACCAAACAAAGAGAAGCACCGATCCCAAATAGCTAAAACATAGGGGCAGGAGATTAACAAGTGATAGAAGCTTTCACCATTGGCTCTACAAAGGATACACTAGTCCGGAGATAAACACCAAAAAGGTCTTTTTTTTAAGTAATCACAATTGTTGCACCTTTCCAAGAAAACTTCCCAACAAAAAGTTCCAATTCTTGGAGGAATCGATTTACCCCAAACCTCTTCAACTGGAAAAGATTAACCAAGGCCAACTGAAGGATGGACTAGAGATCTAAAGAAGGATGAACAAGAAAAGACACCAGAGGAGGATAAGGTCCAGGCTCTACTATCCACCCTTTCTGGATCTAACAACACCCCATCCAAGATTTGGATCAAAGCTGAAATATTGTACAATTCAGAATCTCTAAGACCCCTTCTAAAACCCAAATCCCACTCAACCCTGAACCTAGGGTGGAAAGGAACCAAGAACTTGAAAAGAGGCTCATTTTTAAACCTTGACAAAGATAAAGAAAATGTTCTTTCAAAGAAAAGTCCCCCACCCGAACATGTTCCCAAAATTTCATCAAATTACCAGAGCACGAGTCATACTTGATAAATAATGAAGGTGGCCCTAACCAATACCCTTACCTCCCATCCATTAGCCACTTGCCCATGAATTCTTAGAATTACCTTGGCCCACAGCTTGTCCTTATCCATTTGCAATCTCGAAATCCATTTTCCCAACAAGGCCTTATTTCTTTTTTTGATGTTTCCTACACCTAGACCCCTATCCTTCTTCTAGTAACCACCTCCCAACTAACTCTATGATCCATTTTTTCTTCCCCTAGTTCCCAAAGAAAATCCGCCATTAACTTTTCCATCCTTCTACTTGCATCACAAAGTATCTTAAATACCAAGAGGAAATACATTGACAAGTTAGCTAAAGTGGACTTAATCAAGGTAATCCCCCCACCAATGATAGATAATTCTTCTTCCAAGAAGTTAACTTCCTTACAAATTTTTCAATGACTGGGTTAAAAAAAAATGTTGTTTCTCAGATTATCTCT